AGGAATGACTGTTAGGGGACCCCATACCAACCATCACGGTGGGAGAGGAGATGGGGCAGGGGGTCTGCAGGGGTAGGGACACAGGGCTCACCTGTAGCGGAAAGGGGGGGATCTCAGCACTGACGGCTGGGTGGCTTTGAAGACCTTGAGCCCAGGTGCTCTCAGTTCATCCATGACCTCCCAGAGCAGCAGGGCTGTCGCTGAACCAGCGACCCCAAAACATGCAGCTGCCTGTGCCATGGGGGGATGTTCAGACCCAGCCCCCCATCCCTGGCAGGGTGTGGGTGATGGGGATTTGGGACCAGCAGCCAGGAATGAGCAGAGGTGACCCAGCACGTCTGTGGGCCACACACAGACCAGCACAGTCACATCTGTCCCTGCAGCAGACACACACGCATCAGCTCCAAGTGCAGGCTGTCATTGTGTCACAACCACCTTTTCTGCTTCTCTGTGCACATGTGTTTTGAGTGTGCAAACACATGTGTATGTGCTGTCATGAGGGGCACAGCCTTGCTCCTTCTATTCCCACACACCCCCTGGAAAAAATAGAGCATTGGCAGATTCCATCTAGCATAAAGCAGTTACAGCAAGTTCTGGGAACTTTAGGTTATTGGCACAAACATATCCCTTTTTTTTCCTTCTTTTTCCCCCTATTATTACCCATTCCTTATACAATCTGCTCAAGAAAAGGTAAATCATAGGAATGGACTAAACAGCACAAGAACACGTTAGAATTATTAATAACAGAACTGAGGCTATTCCAACGGCTGGGTCCCTTACACCCGCCCGACCCCATCCACACAGGGCAGGGATTCAGTGAACATGGTTCTCATTGAAATCTATGGCAAAAGGACCAGAAAGGCCAGAGAGACCACTAGAGTTTCGCTCCCACTCTTTCAATGACACTGAAATGAGACATTCAGATCTTGAAAAAGGCTTGCTGTCCTTAGTGCAAGCGATGAAACGAGTGGAACAGATAAGGAAAGGACAGAGTGGGACCATTCTGGGGCTGGAGATAGTTCTCAAGGCTACAGCACCACCTGCAGGCGTTGCCCAGAAGCCTGCAGTCCGTAAATGGTACGTCTGTCTGGAAGGTATCAATGAAATTATGCCTATTATGGAAGGTAGCATTAAAGTATCTAAATTGCAGAAAGATATAGACAGCATGTTGTTTTTCCAAACCCCTCCAATTAAACCATCTCCGATTCCAGAGGCACCTCTTCTGAGGGAAAGTAGTAGGATGGTTCACCGATGCATCATCTTAGAGGCAAAACAATGAGTGGAATTATAAGGCCATGGCACTGGAAGTGGCCGCAGGGGAAAAGTGGAAGCATGCAAGGAGGGGAGCTTAAGGCAGTCCTACGAGCTGTGCAGCATATCTATACTGATTCATATGCTGTTTTCAAGGGAACCACAGAGTGGGTAGGCCACTGGGCAGCCAGTGACTGGCAGGTAAATAGTTGGCAAACCAACAGTTGGAAACAACCGCTAAAAGTAGGAGAACAAAGGGTGCTGCGTATTGGATGGGTGAAAGGATACCATTGATCAGCTTCTATCACTGCCCAGTTCAATCAGCAAGTCGATAGCCTCACACAACGACGAAAAATTGATGTTGTGGATGATGGCCAGGAATGGGAACACTTACTGGAATGGTTGCATGTAAAATGAGGCCACACCAGGTGAGCCGATATCAGGAAGGTATAGCCCAAGGATGGCCCGTATTGGTAAAGTTGTGTGAACAAGTGGTAACCACCTGTTCACAATGTTGTTTGCGACTTAACAAAGATCATCTGAGTAAGGCGCTGTCCCTGCATATCCGGGACCAGAAAACACTGTGGCATACCTGCAGGTTGACTACCTAGGCCCACTATGACCCTCAGGGGGTATAAAATACATACTGGTGAGAGTGGAAATCATTTCAGGAGTTACCATGGCTACAGCCATGGCTGTACCACTACCACAGCTGCCACTGGGGAAATACAGTCAATAGTCTGAAGGTTTAGTACACTCCCCCTTCCTGAGGAGACTCAAAGCGATAACAGGTCACATTTTTCAGCTACAGTAGTACAAGACTGGGCAAAGGAAGAAGGGATCTGGTGGGTATTCCGTACTCTGTACTACCCCCAAGCCAACGATATTGTTGAGCGAACAACTGGCTTGGTCAAGCAATTTGCTAAACCCCATGAATCTGGGTGGCATCTGCGACTGTCCAATGCCACCTATCAAATAAACAATAGATGGAGCAGAGATGGTTGTCTGAAGAGGAAAGCTTTTTGTGCTTCTGCCACAAGTTTGGTGCCAAAGGCAGATGTAAAACCAGGGAATGCCCTACCGTCTTTTATGCGGGCTGGCCTGTGCTGGTTAAAATGCCTCAGATTGGGACAGTGGCAATGGTACTAACAACCCCAAAGAACCTTTATGCTTGGGAAGCAAAAGATAGCTCTGGAAAACTCTTGTCAAATGAGTATTAGGTGGATAGTACTCACTTTCTACCCTATATCTGCTGGTTAAATAATGACTGAGCACCTCTTCTTTTGTGTTCATGGGTACTCTGAATGCCAGAAAATTGCACCTGGGATCAAGGACTCCCCTATACCAATCTAGAGTGCCCCCAAGGGCTTCTGATTTTTATTTGTTGGGTATTTCTATTTCTGATCTTCATACTTATCTGGAAACCAAAATTTTAATATGGCCATGGCTAACAAAACTGTGATATTGTTTGGGGCCATAGTTGAAATAACTTGTGTGCGTTTATTAAGATGTTGATTTGGAATATATTCCAGGCTTAATTGTATTTATTGTTTTTGTTAGTGGATGGATTCACAGTCTAATCCAGTATGCATTAATGTTTACCATAATGATTGTTATTATTATTATTGGATTGCCATGCATGAAAGCTATGGTAAGTAGAACTGTAACTACATGAGTTAGGATGCTTTGGGTCTGTGATCCTGAACACATTCCTTCAATGCCATCCTCTACTGAAAATTGTGAGGATGAAAACACGGGAGAGAAAGATGGATCCCTCAACCTGCCTAAATGCAAATTATATGGTGTTTCTCTTGGTGAGTCACAGAGTGGATAATGTGGAGAACCAGCCTTGTTGGTGCCAAATACAGAGGCACTGTGAGCCGGCAGAAAGTAATGGGGTCTGACTTGAGCAAGACGCAGATTGAGCAACGTGCTTGCCCCACACTGACAGAGCAAGGGCAAGAGTCGAGCAACTTGCTTATCTTGCAAAGAACCAGAGGCGTCATGGCTTGCAGTCGAATGCTCACTTGAATCAACTGAGTGATGCCTGGGGTGAGACAGAGACTTCACAGTCCAATGTTCCTTCAGTAAAACAAGATAAGGCCCCCCTGCCTCTGTACAGAACACCTTTGTTCTCTGCCACACACCCCTTGATCGACAGCGCAACAAGTCTTGTTAAGAGCCAATTGGCACACGGTAATTGACTTAGTCCCACTTCGCCAAGAGTATCAATCTGGCATTTAGAATCCTCCATTTTGAGGATAAGAATTCCCACTATCTGGATGGGTCGATGGGCCTGGACCCCTCTCTCTTGCCCAAGCAGGGACACCTCTTTGGTAAGACTTGGACCTCTGACTATGTTGGATGTTACCCTGGGAAAGTATTGCTAACAAAAGCACTGAACTATTAACTTGAGCTTGAGTTTTGCACCGGAGTGTATTTATCAATGGCCATTCTGAACCTGTTATATCTGTTGCCTTAATAAATTACCTATCTTTTCAAATTTGCAAAACTGTCTCAGTCAAAGTCCTTCCTTGAGAGGGCGCTGACAGGCAAACATTGACTCTGTAAGTGGCTGCACGGATAATCCTTTAGACATAAAACCATTGACCAGGTCTGGAACTAAGACTGGACCTAGCTGCACGTAGACACCTCTCTGAGAAGGAGTTTAGAAAGCAAGGGGTTCCTTTCTGAACCTGATGGCTCAATGGGAGGGCTTCCCTCAGCCACGTGTGCTTAACGCGACACACCCACAGCAGTGAGGTTCTCACCCCACAGAGAAGCACCTCCCACGCGACAGGCTCCCAACAAAGTTTGTACAGAGGGAGCCAAGTGGAACTGCGATCCCCACACCATCACTCCCCCACTGCCACCTTCTGTGTCTCGGTGCAGGCAGAAGCAGGGATGGGTTCAGCGCTCTTGGGCCTCAGCGTTGCTCTGACCGCACAGCATACAAAAGTACAACGCTGTCTTCTGGTGCTGCAGGAGGACACAGAGGAATAAATAACACGCAGGCAGGAAGACAAACTCTGCTGTTTATTGCTGGTGTTACCCAGGGAAGAGGGAATCAACCATGACCAAGGTAACCCTCCTGCGGTTTGTTTCCCAAGGGCCGGGGCAGTGGCGACTCCTGCCCACAGCGGCTCCGCAGGGTGCAGCAAGGACGGTGGCATCTGCAATGGGATGGGAGAGGAGGGTCAGGGAGCATGGTCATGCCTTGCCACAACGTGTGCCCCTGTCCCATTTGTGCCTTGCTGGCTGGACCCAGGTGATGGGCCCTGAGCAGGTCCCCTGTCCTGCATGAGGTTCCCAGCAACATTTTGCTGCAGGACAGGTCACCCTTGCCAACCAGCCATGGCTGTTTTCGCAACACAGCAACCCTGTGTCTTAAGTCAGGCTTTGGTGGAAAGGAAGACTCTGGGAACACGCTCGGCTCTGTGCAGCAGTGACTTTATAAGCCAGCGCCAGCACGTGCATCTTACCAGAACATGCCCAGCTCCTTCCTCCGGTTGATGTCTCTCTTCAGCTGGCAGAGCGCACACATGGGGCAGCACATGACGGAGAACCAGTCACCCAGAATGGAGCCCTGTGGAGCAAGGGACGTTGTACAAATAACCCCTTCCCACATCACTTTTTAAGTCTTCCTAATTTTCATCATCAACACCCCTGGGCAGCTCACCCCTGGCCCCACAGCACACTGCCGCTCACACCCAGGGAGAACTGGGATGAGGCAGTGTCCGATGGGATTACACCCGGCTCACAGCAGGGATGCACACGTGTCCCTGGCTCCCTGCCTGTGGGGCTGCCCATGCAACTTCCCGCTGCTGCTCTTCCCCTTGGGCACCCTTTTCTCCTTCCCTGAGCCCACATCCCAGCACCCAGCTCGCAGCCGGCGCTGCCAGCGGGGCAGGCCTCATGGTTGGTCACTGACCGGGATGTTGTATCTGGTGCGGTAGAGCGTCCTCATGGCCACACTGGGACCACACAGGCAGAACTCGTCCATGTCCCCAGCCACTTGGCACCCCAGGCAGGTGAAGCAGAAGGCTCCGCAGATACCTGCGGGACAGCAAGACATGGGCTTGGCTGGGGGGTGCAAAGAAAGAGGAAGTTTTTTGGCGATGCAGCCGTGGAAGCCGTGGCTCTTGACCTCAGATAAGAGCTGCTCCACCACTGGTACCCACAGAAGTGGGGTTTGCAGCAGGGGCGATGCTGTGGAAGGGGCAGGGAACACAGCAGAAACACATCATGAGCCAACACTAAGAGCAAGGAGTATGTATGTACTCACACACGCCACAGTCAGAGCAGCAGTCCAGCAGCCCCGACTGCCACTCGCCTGACCGTGGGGCAGCCGAAAACTGGGGCTGGACCGTGATCACGTGGTGAGAGGCCATTGCCAGTGCGGAGTGGGGTCGCTCCAGGCAGTTTGTGGTCTGGAAAGAAAAGCCATCAGAGAAAGATGCTGCAGGTGTTTCTGAAGTGGGTGTCTTGCTCAGGCTGCTGCATTCAAAGAGGGAGAGGGCAGCACAGGTCCCCGAGGGGTCCCCACTGCCAGGGCACTGCCATCCTCACCACAAAGTGGGGGGTACAGCTCTGCCCAAAGCTGCTACTGTCCTTTGCAGCAAAGCCCTCCCCCGAACCAGCCCTTCACCAAAGGCACCTTGTATCCTGCCTATGCAAGACAAATGCCTCCGAAATCAGAAGTCCTTCTGCATCAGAGCATCAGTGCTTCAACACTTCAATCCTGTCATTTCATCCCCAGTTCATCTTTCATCATCTTTCATCTGCTTAAAATGTTGGGGTGTTCTTATGTTCACAGTGTCCCAAAGCTACTACAGCCTGGTCCTAGCTTTTCCAAGCTCTCAGTAGTCACCTTAATCTTTGCTTTGTTACCCACCTGTTCCTCAGCCTGTTTGCCTCCCCCTCTCCCTTTCTTCTTCACCTGCTTTCTTAGCAGGCTTCAAGGCAGCAGTTTTTCCTTGTCCCTTTCCATCCTCCTAAGCCCAGTGACCAGTTCCCATCCCTCCTCCAGCTGCCTGTCTGTGCCAGTGCCTCATCCTTTTCCTCTTCCTCGGTTCCCTGGGGCCACCACAGCCCCTGGAGCCCCACTCCTGCCCATTCTTCCCCAGTGAGGGGCTGCAGCCTCTTAGAGCAGCAGAGCTCCTGCTCCACAGCACCGTCCCCAAACCCACCTGACCCATGTAACGACTCCACCTCCAGGCGCAGCCCCTTCCCTCCCCACTGCCCCCTGCAAGGCATGGCAGCACCCTCTGCCATTCTCACTTCAGCCTTGGAGCTTTAATTAAAAAGAAAATAAAATAGAGTATGCTCCCATATGAAGTCCCATACAGACACACTCCCTGCCCTGTGCCCAGGCTCGGCACCGCTCTGATAAACAGCACGGGGATGAGATGCAAAGGCTCCCGTACTCCTACAGCTACAGGGACTCTCTTCTGCTCCGAACGCACAGCCACATGTCCTCAGCAAAGAAATCATCAAAGGGAAAGCAGCCTGAGCTTTGGACCCCATAACCACAGGCTGCCGCTCCTTTTCCCAGCAAGGGTCCCGGCAGCTCCCCTGGGAGGTCCTCTCCAGCCACCAGGTTCCCACACAGCCCACGGGCATTGCCGTGTCGGGTGTGAGCGGCCCAGCTGGGGCTGCACTCACAGGCCCAGCTCCCTGCAGAGGGGAGAAGCTGCTGCCACCCTTGGATTTGCTGTATGGGATGGTCACTGTTTGCAGAGAGCAAATAAAGCCCAAAAGGTTTTAAAGCCTGGCGACTGCGTGCCTTCACCAACAGCTAATGCAGAGGGTTACAGGGCTGGGCCCTCCCTAGAGGGAGGGCTGCCCCCACCCCTGGTCCCAAGCATGCCCTAAAACTGCATGTGAGGTGCTGGGCTGTGCAGGGGCTATGTTCCCCCTACCCCCATCATCACATCACACACGGAAAACAGAAACTCAGTGCTGGGTTTGGGGCTCAGAAAAAGACTAACTCCTGTGGGTTTGGGTCTCAAAGGCAGAGCCCCGAGTTTCTGAAGCTCAGAGAAAGGCTAAGTCCTGCTGGCATTTCCGTGACTGCTGTTAGGGATGTTTAACAGAGGACCTTTGGACAGTCCGTGTCCCGCCTGCCCCTGCCCAGCTTTGACATGTTGTCCTGCCTGTGCAGGCAGCACGGCTGCCTGTCTGGGTGACGGCTGGGGGCAGAGAGGGGTGTTTGTGCAGGTGTGTGGGGGTGCGTGTGCCCACTGAGCAGCCCTCCCCTCCCTGCCCTGCAGCTCCCTGCCCTTGTGTGACAAGGGAGCACCTGAGTTTTGGGATGCTGGGAGGAGCAAAAAAGAAAATCAGGGGAAGCATTAATGTTTTGAAGCAAGGGATGATGGCATTAATCGCTGTAAATTCTGTTAAAACACTATAAAGTGAATGGGATAGTTTTCACATGTTTACACAGAACTTAAGTATTAAACACAAGGAATACAGCTGACTAAATACATTCGCATGCCCAGCACTCAGATGATGCCTTTGAGCACAGTACCCACATCTGACACCAGAGAGATACAGGCTGCGGCATTGCATTTGTATTGATTATTGTCAACAGGCAGCACAGGGGTCTGTGGCTGGGCCAGCAGCTCCTGCGGCTCCCCATCATTTACAGACTGGTCTGGATATATCTCTGCTGTCAGACACAGCCTATTGCCATATGGCCAACCCTTGTCCCCTGGTAGCACATGGAGAGGAAAAGGGATGTTAAATTATGCCATAAAAGGAAAGAAAGCATGTAAAAAGTCTCCATGTGATTTGTTCATAACTTTTTTGCAGCTTTCTGCAGGCAGTGGAAGCATGGCCAGGCTGACCCTATCTGAGACACCAATATTTGCTCCCATTAGTTAATGAGTGACCTGACAGCTGGTGGGATTGTTTCAGTCAACAGCCCCTGCTGGGGGTTAAAAGACAAGGGTGTTTTCCTGCTGCTACTGAACAGGGCTTTTGAGCAGTAAAAATGCTGCTGTGCCCTCTCTGGGGCAAGTGACCTAGCTGTTGGCAGGGACCTTTGGAGCAAGCGCAGGCAACCCCACCACCTGTGGGTGCAATGGGGGCCACAGGCCCCTCACTGGACACCTCCTGCCCTACCCTGGCACCTGTTTCTACCACCTCTGCAGCCGATGTAACACCCCATGGCCCACCAAAATGGCATCCCTGCAGGGAGCCTGGGCACGGGATGATTTAAGAAGAAGCTGGAGCCATGAGTGGCAGGGGAGGGGACAGAGCACGGACGGGCTGTGCAGTGGGGTCACCAGGCAGGGACAGCACGGGGGTCCCATGCAGGGACAAGGCTGCCCAGCAGCAGGCAGGGCCGCAGGGACCACAGGGAGAAGCCTGTGCGGGAGCAGGAGATGGTTTAGGGGCAGGACCCCACCAGACTCCCATGCCAAAGGAGGCGTGCCCCCACCGCCAGATAACGAGATTAATAGCAGCGCACATTGAAAATGCAGCCCAGCAGCGCTCACCACCACACCCACACCGTGCCCTTTGCAGGCAGGGCTGACCACGCAGTTTCCCTTCCTCTCCTGAAGCACGAGTGCACCACATCTCTGCATGGACAGAGGCTGCGATGTGGAGCAGGCAGCAGCCTGGAGAAGCCTCTGCCCCATGCTCGTCTTCTGAGAGATGGGCTGGGCCCAGCACACCCAGCACATCACCCCAAGTGCCCCCAAAGCTACAGCTCCACAGCACCACCAGCGGTGTTGGAACAGCTGATGGGAACGAAACGGATCCTCAGGTGCACGCAGCCACATTTCACTGATAATCAAGGTCATAAAGCAGCATTTTGTTATGTTTAGGCACATGTATACGTGCACAACCAAGCAATACAGTGCAAAAACTGCTGTCCTTTACCTCTGTTGCCCACTTCTGTCGAGATGCCACTCAGCAGCACCTGGCACGCTCTGGTTTAGCTCTGAAGTAGTTTTCTAGGTAGAAAACCTCACCCTCACGCTTTCCCCAGCAACACCACTTCAGCCATGAGCAGTTTCTATAGTTTAGTACCACAGTTCTTGCTGAAGCAAAGCCAAGCCATACGTACCTGCTGAGCCGCCCTTGTCCCAGGAAGTGTGTCCTTTTCCTGGTTCTCATCCTTTATATGCTCTGGGTGCTCCCTGGTGAACGACCTCTGCTCCCTCTGACTAAGAGCCCTGAAACTGGCCTAGGTTCTGCTTTGCGCAATTACAGCTTCCCCACTGAAGGTGGCCAGCTAACAATCTGCTGCCTCTCCCCTTTTGGCACTCCAGCATCCTGGAGGCCCAGAGCCCCCATGGGACACGTCACTTTGCGTAGCAGTTTTCAGAGAAGGACAGGTTGCATTCGGGCTGCTGTGCTGCCTTCAGCCATGTGCCACTGGAGGTGCAGCGCCTTTCCTTCATCCAGCCTGAGCATCAGCAAGAACTGACTGTAACTCCACTGGGTGACACAGGCGCTGCCTCGAGGTACAGCTACAAAATGATACCATGCTGTACTGGGATGAGATGGCAGCATGCTATTTCTTCTCTTCCTCTCTTGACTTTCCTGGCTTTTCCCTCTCTTAGGCTAAAAATGCAGTTTTCTATATTTTCAGGGATCATCCATAGGACCGTCTGGGCCATCTGGGGTTTAGGCACGTGGAAGTGCTGCCACACGGACCCACCCTGCAGCACTGATAGAACCTCTACCTGCCCTTTACAAGGTTTGCGGTGAAGGTGAAAGCGGGGGGGGCAACAAATAATACAGTATTTTCCTTAAAGAGTGAAGTTGGGGGTGATTTGTAGGGATCAAAAATCCTTTAGCATTACTCTGAGAGTGATGGAGAGAAGGTGGGTGTAACCTTGGTCTTTTGAATGGAGAACGTATGGGTAACAGCCCAGTGCAGGCAGGCACTGGCTGTGACTGGGAGGTGGCAGGGTTTGCCCATGGAGAGGACTTGGCCAACCCATGACCCAACCAGGTTTTTAATCGCAAGCAGGTGGGAATTCAAGCTCAGGGTCCGTTGGGGAGCATGTCTCTGCAATGTAGGAGGTGGGCAGGTGCTAGGCAGCCAAAAGTCCCCGTGGCTTCATGTTCAGAAAGGTGGCTTGGCCAGCAGCCCCAGATGGCCACCTGGGCCACCACAGCAGGGACAGCTTGGCACTTGGTGGCCTGCAGCCATCACCTGCCTGCGGGAAGCCTCAGCTCAGCCCTGGAGCAGAAGTCACTTTTCCAAATTGTACAACTTGGATTAGCAACGCCAACGACTCCTATGTATTAAACAATCTTTCTAAAAGCTGAGCAAATAACAAAATAACTAGTGAAAATCTTTCTCTGCAGTGGGTGCAGGGAAATCTCAGCTGCACCAGGGGCTGCTGAGATGGATGGAGTGGGAGAAGGATGGGTGCTCTCGGGTGTTGCAAGAGTGACACACACAGAGGCAGGAAGACAAACTTTGCTGTTTATTCATGGTGTTACCCTGGGAAGGGGGAATCAACCATAACCAAGGCAAATCCCTCGTGGTGCATTTCCCAAAAGCCAGGGCAGTGGCGACTCCTGCCACAGGTGGCGCCCCCTGCCACAGTGGCTCCGCAGGGTGCAGTGAGGACAGTGGCATCTGCAATGAGATAGGAGAGGAGGGTCAGGGAGCACGGTCATGCCTCGTCACAATGTGTGTCCTGCCCTCCCTGTCCTGCATGAGGTTTCCAGCAACATTTTGCTGCAGGACAGGTCATTCTTGTCACCTGCCCATGGCCATTTCCCCACTGTAGCAACCCTGTGTCTTATGTCAGGCATTGGCAGAAGAAGAAACTGGTAAGCCACTTAACTGTGAGTAGCAGCAGCTTTATAAATCAGTGCCACCATGCCCAGCTTACCAGAATATGCCCAGTTCCCTCCTCCGGTTGATGTCTCTCTTTATTTGGCAAACGGAGCACACGAGGCACCACGTGGTGACACAGAAGTCAGAGCAAATGGACCCCTATTAGGAAGAAATTGGTTAGGGACATGGGCTTCCCAAAAGCCATGTTTCAGCCAAGAGGAGGTTAATCACATTCCGCATCGTGTGCCCTTTGTTTCCTGACTGGCTGCAGCATCCTGAGTAGCACGCACTAAAAACCTGG